CCTAATGCTGCCTCCAAAAGCTATTCCTCTATAGCATGAGCCTTCTCTGAATATGGAGCAGAGCTTTAATATTCCCTTATTACTGGGGTATGGTTACCAAAGAAAAGGCAAAGGAGAACTGTATTTTCTTTTTCCTTCTGGGGATGTAAAAAAGGGGAAGCCGCAGTTAAAAAAAATACAGGTGCAAAATGTCAACCTTAAAAGACTTGACAGAAGAGATCCCACTGTCTGGCTGTCTTTGGTAGTCATATCTGGAGAAAGGCCCTTTCAGCACTGCTCCTGTGTGCTTTAAATCAACCGTCTCTTCAACTGCAATGTTGCCCCAGTGGGACACCTCGATGACTCGTGTCATGCTGGTGATGGTCAGGAAGGGACTGTTATTTTCATAGTGCACCTTCAGAGTGTCCTAACAAGGGAAAAAACAAGATAAACTATTAGACTTGAAGGAAGAAGCAAGGGCCCCTCACAATTATCCACTTCATTTGCCACAGAGAACCCTCCATGGCAGACGCTGCAGAGTTGACTTTGACTGCACGGGAGGGTCTGAGCCACCCAGTCCAGTTCACACTGGGTACCTGGGGGTACTCACAGGTTACAACCTGCACATCTGGCTGTGTTGTAAAGGTGAGGGGAGCTAGAGAGGCAGTGTTCCCCATGCTGACACACCCCTGCCAGAGCCACTTAGACACCAGCTTGGTTTGCTCTGTGGACACCAAGCAGCAGTCAGCAATCCCATCTGTATAGGAGCACCTTGCTGGAGCACGTGTTCCTGGCCTGCATGTGGTCTAACTCAGGCGTGACCTGCGATTCTTACACAAAGGCCTCTGCTTCCCACTCTCCAGCCTCTGAGACACATCCTCCATGCCACAAAGATGCTCTCTGCAGAGCCACAACCCCTTTGCACAGATGTTTACCTGGCTGTATGGAGGAATATCCTTGAAGGGGCCGTACTCAATCATGTCCTCAGTGCGGGAGGGGTTTCCCAGCTTAGTGTAACTCTCCACATTCCTAGAGGCCAGTTTGACCCGAGTCGTTTGGGTCTTGGTGAAGTAGGGTGAGTAGAAATAATGATTTCCTTCAAAGATCACAAACTGCTTCTCACTTTGGGTGATGTGGGTGGGGTAGGGCTGCAGGACATGCGTGAAAACCATTTCAACAGAGACACGGATCTTGGCTCCTGGTGCCAAAGGAGATGGCAGCTTCACAGAAAAGAATTTTCCACTGGAAGGGAGAAGAACAGGTAAGTCATGTGAGATCTCCCCTGAGAGAGCATTCAGATCCATCCCCTGTGGAAGGGAGCCCATGTATCACATGTATCAGGTGTGATTTGGGCCCGTGTTTTACTTGCTCCTCCAGTATGTAGAGATGTCTTGTCCTAGCACATGTGATTACTCTGGACTGGGGAGGACTGGGGAGGCAGCACAGGATAAACTATATCCAGGCACAGAGACAGTCTTTGCTTCACAAAAACACCTGGCTCCCATCTCGGAAGTGGAAAGAATGGTGGCACATCCCTTCCCTGATCCTGCATTTATAAAGCATGCTTTTATTTTTTTCATTCTTCTCCAGATGACAGGGATTATCTGAATCAAAAGATGCATGTGTATGTGTCCAGAAGACAATTCACAAACATCTTCAGCATCTGTTCCCACAAGGTCTGTTCATTCTCAGTTTTTTGCCCACAGGATCTAAACTTAGGAATGGCCAGAAAATGGCTTTGGACTGAGGTTCTACAGAACGGATTCAGATTTCACCAAATCCGTAAGGATCATACTTCATGTCAATCCTAGAAGCCCAAGAGCCAGATCGCATGAGGCATCCAGGCATTGGAAACTATGGTGTATCTTGGCAACTTAACTCTACAGCTCCTGTCCTCTTGAAACCCAGCTGCATCGTGCTTTTGAGCCACTTTACAGGCACCTTTACCTCTCAGCTCAGAAGGCACCTGGCTGCCCAGTCTTGCAGCATCTGCACAATATTCCAAGCCTGGCAGTGCAGATCCTCATACCAAGAACAGTATCCTCTCTCCCTGCAGCGGGCAACAGCCTGTGCAGGGCCGTGGGACCCAGCACACTGCAGTGCTCTGGGCACACAGCCACAGAGCACTTAGACTCCCTGTAAGTACCACTGCCAACCCTCTGAGAGCCCTCAGAAGGGAGCAAAGGGTAGGAGCACGACCACAGCTATAATGTTTCTCTCACCTGGCGTCCTTTAATAAAGGGCCAGGGCATTACTGAAGGCACTGAGTACAAGAGATGAGCACAGCTGAGCCCCCACAAAGGCAGCTGAGTTGCATTTGAGAGAGATTCACTTCCTCATAGGGTGCTCCCCTGACTAGCAGCTGTATATGACTGTGCTGGGCTCAGCGCAGAGGTCTAACATCTCATGTGTTATCTCCCAGGGAAAGAGCATCACCAGGAGGAGAGTGACTTCTACTGGGGCTTCCTGAGCTGCAGGAATTGGGTTTGGCTGCTTGTGCGAACCATGCTCTCTGCCTCTGTAACACCCCACAATGCAGCCTGAGTACGGAATGGACCTTTTCGGGAAGAAAAGACTCCAGAATCTCTAGGTATGTGGAATGGGGGTGGTATTTCTGCTTCACCACGGGGACAATTGTGAAACCCCCATGCACAATTCTAAGTATTGACCTTTAAAGGTGATACTCACCTTTTGCCCTTAACTTTAGTCTCTCTCACTTCCAAGGTGTTCTCCTCCTCTTCCTCACCCTTTACCTGCTCCAAAACAGATTGATCAGTGTGCTGCTGTTTAAAAGACTTAACATGACCAGGGCAAACACTGTACAGTTTCTCTACAGAGTTTTTAGGGGTGATGTCCTCCAGAAAGTACAAGCTGAATATATAACTAATTTAGTAAGAAAATTTAACAAAAAGCCCTTTCACAATGGCTTCATGAATACAAATTGCAATTTGACAGTGAGCAAGATCAGATACTAGAGGTTTCTGGTAAAATTATCATGTTCCACTCACCCTGGTTCAGAGGTTACCAGAAAGAGAGGTTTCTGGCAATTTTAGTTCCCCTCAGCCTGGTTCCTAAGCCTGCACAGTCACCATAACTTGGGCAAATGAGAATACTGGTCAAATGCTTTTGCGATTGCTCTCGTGTCTGGGGAACGAAAGGGACCAAGTAGAGTTGTACTGCAGGCCTTTGTATAGAGATACACTATATATACTGCAGACCGCTGTATATACCTCTGTGTGGTATACAGAGATATATCCTCTGGCAGTCCTTGTGGGATTAGGAGAGCTCTGCTGCTCGTGGGTAAGCGATGCCCCTGCTGGGACCGTGCTGGCGCGACCACCGCTCTGATCGCCCTCCCCATCGCCCCCCAGGCCGTGCCCTCTCCGCCGCCCTCCCCGCCACAGCCACCCTCGCCTTCCCCCCACGGTGTGCGGGATCCGGGAGCGGCGCTGTGGGATCCGGGAGCGGCGCTGCGGGGCCCGGCAGTGCCGACGTGTCCCTGCGGGCGCGGGGCCGGGCAGCGCCCGCGGCCCCCGAGCGGCCCCCCGAGATCGGCGCGCTCGGCCCCGCTCGCCGCGCTCACCTGCACGCCCAGGTGGGCCAGGCGGGGCTCCAGCCCGGGCTCCAGCGCCAGGAGGAAGGAGGAGGCGGCCGCGCCGCCCGCCGCGTTGGCGAGGCTGAGCTCGGCCGAGACCTTGGCCAGGTGCGTGCTGAGGTCCAGCGAGCGCCGCGCCTCCTCCAGCAGCAGCTCGGCGCAGGTCCCGGCGGCCGCCAGGCAGAGGAGCAGGACGCGGCACAGCAGCCCCGCCATGGCCGGCACACCGCGGGGAGGGCACAAGATGGCGGCGCCCGCGCTGTACGGGCAGGGCACAAGATGGCGGCGCCCAGTGGGAGGAGGAGGCTCGCGATGGCGGCGCCCACGGCGCTTGAGGCCCGCCCCCCCCCCCTGCTTTCTGAGGTGCCTGACGAGAAGGGCTGGGCGGGCTCCTCCAGAGTCCCGGGGATGGTTTCGGCCTTCCGCGGTACCGGAGTTTCCCGGCGCCCCGGCAGCGAGGTCAGGGGTTCCCGTGGTGCGCTGGGCCCGTACCCCTGATGAGCCCACAGGCCTCGGGGCTGGTCAAGGGCTTGCTGGGTCTTGCTGTGGTTTCCCACCTTTTTGCCTGAAAAGGAGAAAAACCCATCTATAACAAATAATCTGAGACATTCAGGGCTTTCATGTGCTCCTCAGCCACCTCTCTAGTTGCCTGAGACAACTCAGTTGTCTGTCTCCCCGTTTTTAGCAGCAGGCAGTTCCTGACAGGGCTCTGGCAGCAGAAGCTTCAGGGGGCCAAAGGTATAAATCCTGCTGGAAGCGCTGGGCGTGGCATGGTCTGGAGGGGCTGTCAGGGCCAGTAGCACTGGGATGTAGCACTAGGCACTGGCACAAGGAATTGATGCTTATATTACCCTGAGCCTCAAACTGGGGCGGTTTGTCTCGCTGGCCTAGGACATCTCGCTACTGCTCTGGATGGTGAGGTTTAGCACAAGTAGATTTTAAGCTGAGCCCAGATCTTCTTCTAAAAAGCACCGAAACTTGACAGCTAGGTGATGCCAGAGTAGAAGTGCTGCAGGCAAGCAAGGCATGGTAACCAGCCCTGAACTGACTTAAAGAATAGCTGGAGAAAGGAAAATGTTAGTGGTTTAACACATGACTGGGGAAGAGGTGATTGACACTTTATTCCCAAACATCTAAAGCACATAAAAGCAAGGAACGGATGTTGTCTGCTGTGATTGCCAGAGCAGAGCTTTTGCCTGTGAGCCCTGTGGGACAACAGACCTTTCATGTTTGCATAATGTGATCCAGGACTCGACCTTTCTTTGAGATCCTAATATGAATCACAGAGAAAATTCTCTGATTTGGCCTGAGATTGCCAAGTATCGGAAGGGGATTTCCTAAATTATGTGCTTGGATTTGGAGTGAAATAGCCCCTTGGCAAAGGCTAAATAAAATGAGATGTCTCCTGGTGCCCCCCCTTCCCCCCCGCCATTCCTATCCTGGAGATTTTCTTGGCAGATAGCTTTCATTTCCTTTTGATTTATTTAGGCAACAGCCCTGTGAATTTGGCAGCTGGCCTGGTACAAGCAGGTAGTTTTGTCACTGTGTTTGGGGTGACAGCAGTGCTATCTTCCAGCAGCACAGCACGACATGGCTGTGGGTGGGTGTCCACCTCCTCAGCTAGGGAAGTGTTCCAGGTCCCTTTGCTCTCCAGGAAAAACCTGTTTATCTTGGCCCTCTTCTCCAAAGAGCCAGGCTTTAGGGCCTCAGAACTGAGTAGGCATGCTCAGGGGGCAACAACTGTGAAACAGCCACCTCTAATTTAAGGCTGGCCAGTGGTGCAGCATGTGGGGACTCCCTCCAGTTGTCCAGGCTGATTTTCTGTGGAAAGTTCCTCTGCTAGGAATGGCTGTTACTGTTCTTCCTTCCATGTATCACAGGGAACAAATGAACTCCAGTCGGCCTCTTTAATAACATGTGCAGCTCAAGCTTTTATTTCCTTCTCTCCCTCAGGGCAATTTCTCCTGGCAAAAGGAGGGAAAGAAATAAATGCACATGTCCCTTGTGTCTGGAGATAATTGGGCTTCATTTGTCACATCCTGGGCCAAAGGTTGCTCTCCTATGGGTTCATCCCAGAGGCTGGATTTGAGCTTGCTGGCGAATGCAAGTTTCAGCATCTGACCCATCCCAGACCCCAGTGAGCTCTGTTCCAGGCTATTGTACACTAACCCTGTGTTTGGATCCATTTCTAATTGTGATAATTGAGTCATGCTGATCCTGCACAGCATCTGTTTCAAGACTTCAGCCCTACCACATAGGCTAAAATTATCTTTAGGTTGAAAAGCTGCTGCCTTTGGGCTTGCTCAAGGCTGAGCTTGGCTCTGCAGGCCTCTCTCACTGTTGTCCTGTGACCGGTGCCAGGCTGTTCATGCATGGGTTCAATCACAGCTGTTGGTGGTCTCTGGCTGGGTGTTCTGGTGGCTGGGACAGCTTGGGGACACCTTGCAGGGTGTGTTTGAGCAGGGATGGGCTGCTTCTGCAGGTGAGGAGCACTGTGGGACCCTCTGCTTCCTAACTGTCCCAGGCTGCAGTGCCTGTGTGCAGATCTGGCCACCCAGGCCTGGTGCCAAGCAACAGCAAGAGGTGGGAGTCCAGAGCTGCTTATTTTTCTCTCTTTATGTGTTGGGGTTTTTTTTAATTCCCTCACTGTGAGGAATGCCCCCCCCACCCCTCCCCGCAGTACTGCCCCTGAGAGCTGCAGGTCGGGAAGCAGCTTGAGAGAGGTTACCAGACTCTGCTGCCATCCAGGCATGAGTGTAAGTCCCCAGCTCCCGGTGTGCTGTGAAGAGAGTGTGTCACCCTCAGGGCCACTGAGCAGTAGTGGGAGGGGAACAGCCACGGTGAAGCCAGTGCCAGCCCAGCCGTCTGCCAGGGCTGAGGCACGAGAGTGGTCTAATAAATGCCTCTGGCAGGATCAGCCACGGACAGAACTGCACCCCAGGAAAAGCCCTGTGCTCCTCTGTTTTTACAGGGCTGATGCCAAACTCAGAGCTGTGTCATCTGTCAGAGCAATTTGTTCTCAGGGAGGGAAGGAGAAGTGGTTTTCCAGCAGGAGCGTGTTGGCTGCGACCACAGGAGCACACTGAAGCCTGTAGCAGCAGGGAACAGGATTTATCCCACTGTGATCCTCACACCGGCAAGGATCTTGCACCAGGAATATGCAGGGACCATGAGGTAATTGTGGTGCTCTCTGAGAACACCAGGTCAGGGGCAGGAGATATTAAACAGGCCTGTGCATGTGTACCAGAAGTTATCCTGGCAACACCTTGCAGATTTTGATACAAATCTCTCAGTGATCCTGAAAAACACACAGGCATGTGGTTCTCAGTCGTAATGACTGAGGAAAAAACTCCCTGTTTCAGATTCTATTGGTCAAACAGCCTTCTGGCTGCCAGTGGGAAGCAGAGGGCATTTCTTTGTATTCAGTCTTGAGTGAGGTGTTGCAGTTGCCAGCCATGAGAGCACAGCAGAGTTTGCTTAGCCTTGCTAAGGCACTCGAAAAGCAGCTGGAGAAAGGGAGAAAAAACAGTCATCCAGTTTCATTATTTTTACAACCTCATTTTTTAGCTAGTCAGCATAACTCACGCTGAGCCTCTGCCAAGCAAAACACACCATTATTCTTGTTTGGGGTTTGCCTGTGATTTCCATGGGAGTGGTGGGCCTGGAGGGGGCTGGTTGAGCCTTAGCTCCTGTGCTTTGTTTGGCTGCTCTGGAAACATGTCCTGCCTTCACAGAGACAGTGGTGATGGGGCACACTCCGCTCAGGGGCTCTTTTTTCCAAGTTACTTTAGGTACCTGCAGTAACACCCTCCCCCTTACAGTGCTCACTTTAAAATAATTTCTTACTACTTTAAAAAAAAATCTGTTTTCCTCTCCATGTTAGACTGCAAGACTCAGAAAAACTAGTGAAGAAAACTCTCTGTGCACAGAAACTGTACAAAGCATTGCGAAGCACACAGAGAAAACCTGCTGGAAGAAAATGGCACTGTATCTGTGAGTTTTGTAAGGAGGTGAGACCGCTGTGTGATGAGTGTTTTTGCAATAAGGAAGGAAAAATGCAAGCAAAAAGGAGACTTCATCACTTTAAAAAATTACTTTTGACTTTGTTTTTAAAGCTTCCTAGAAATGTAACTGAAATAGCCATAGGCAGGCACTGACTGGCTGCAAATGGAAAAAATCTGCTACACATGTGCAACTGAAATACAGAGCCTGAGTAAGGTACGTGGTCCACTCGAGGGGACTTGCTTTGGGCTTGGGTGGGTCTGGATTTTGTCACAGGATCAGAGCTTGTTTTGGATAGAGGGAAGAATACTGGTTTAAATATATTTAAAAATGAGGGTGTGATCAGGGCTGCCACTCAAGTATTTCCCGCTGCAGACAGGACCTGGGTGCAACGCCCCCTTCAAACCAACACTGGAGTGGCCTGTCCACATCGCCCTGCAGCTTGAAAATGCCTTCAGTAGACTGGCAAAGCCAGAGGCGGAGAGAGGAGGACGGGCTGCACGTCCTGGTTTGAAAAGACAAATGCTGCCCTTCGCGGAGAACCAGGGGGGCAGAGAAGCCGCTGGCTGTCCTTCCAGGCTTCGGAGCAGGCGGACGGGGGTCCCAGCTATGGGCAAGCGGGGACATGCTGGCTCTTGGGGCAGCAGCTGAATTGCATCCTGGCACAGAACCACACCTCTTCATTTGCTCGTTTTCCCCAGGGTCGGTGGTGAAAGCAACAGCACCCGCGTTTGGCAGAAAAACATCGGGACAAATACAATGAAAGAGCCCGCAGTGGAGTTAAGGCAGGAGCGCCTGAGTGGCTGGTGCTGAGCTCCCCGAGCTGGACTGGCTGTGCCGGGGTCCTGGAGGGCAGCTGCAGGCAGCGGCGCCACTTCTGAGCGGGCGATGGAGCCGGTTGCAGCTCTGAGGGCTGACAAAGAGCCTCACCCTTGTCCCCCTCCTCCGTCCCGCGCCTCCGCCAGGGGGCGCCCGGGGAGCGCCCGGGGGCGGGGCCGTCTGGGGCGGGACATGGCCGAGCCCCGCCCCGAGCGCTGCGGCCGCACCTTGGTGACACCAATTAATCAATTAACGCCGGGCAGGGCCCCGCTCTCTCCCGCAGGATCCTGGCAGAAGCCTCCGTTGAGGCGGTACCCCCGAGCTTGTGATGGGCCAGAGCCGCCCGGCCCTGCGTGGGTAACGGGCACCTCGCGCTGCAGGGATCTGCGGGTTTCACTGTGTCATCCCGCTGTCACCGCTGTCCCCCAGCCTGCCAGCCTCTGGGGCGTGTAGGGCCTCTCCTGGGGTCACTCCAGGAAGTGGTTTGTCCCCGGGGTGAAGAACGGGAGGTGAGGGAGAGGGTGTGCAGTGCTGCAGTGCCCGAGTGCCACGGGACCGCAGTGGGACTTAGTGCCCATCTCTCTATAAGTGCTATTGCATTTTTCCTTCTGACCCTTTTAAGGTCCTGCAGATGTGGTGCCAGAACCCACCTGAGCACAGCACAGCGCCTGGGCCGTGATCCTATCCTCGGTGGTAATGAAGCCTGGTGAGGAATTGTTGCTGGCCACAGGTACAATAACTGAGTTTCCATCTTTTAAGGAAGCAACTTGTCTTTCTCAGCTTCTTTTTGGAAAGGAAAGCACTTGCTGGTGTATCTGCTTAGAAGTCTGTTGTTCTTGTAGAGTTTAAACCTGGATTTTGAAGCCTCAGTTTTGCAGGATCTGCTGCAGCCAGCAGGAAGTTGAGGGTCCCACTGACAGCAGCAAGAGGGGGTCATTTGCAGATTGACAGCTCTTCTGCTCCTTCCAGGAGCCCTGTGTTGAAGCAGTGCTTGCTGTGAGATAATGCAGATTTCTCACCAGGTTACTAAATTTTGTAATCTGCTGGCAGAGGCTTCCCTTGGTGATGCTCTGTGAAGTGCCAGCTGGGATATACAATTCTCTTGCAAAGGCAGCCCTTGAGCCCCTGCCAGGCTGAATCAAAACCTCTGACCCAAGCCTGGCTTTCCATGGACCTCAGCATGCATGTGTGTGATGGTCAGCAGTGGCCCCTTCCCCAGAGACAATCTCATCATGCCCTGCCAGATGGCTGTTGGTGATTCCTTCCCATCACAGGTCTTTTCATGTGTGACCCAAAGAGAGGGAGCATTAACCCTCTGTGAACAGTGCTGGTCTGCAGCAGTGAATGCAATCTCCTTCCTGATAAGAAAAACACCAGTGATCAAGGAAAAAAGAAACAGGAGGATCTTTTGATCATTTATTGTTATTCCTTTCTCTGAAGGCTTCAGGTTCCTCACAAATAGCTCTCCTGCCTTCCTGCTAAGAAATGCTTGATGTTTGCATTGGTTTTTGCAGAGTCAGCAGAACTGATCCACTCCAACAGAAGGGATGGCAGCCAGTGCCTCACTTAACCCCACACAGGTCACCTAGAAAGCAGCTAAAAAAGACAGCCTTAGCCTCCAGCAGGCCAGCCCCAGCTCTGATGCTGGGATGGCCCTGGTGTCTGAAGCAATTTGGCAGGAGTGCAGGTCAGGCAGAGCAGATGTTCCTTAGGCTGGCATTGTGCTGGGGTAGATGGGATAATGCATCTTTTGTAGCCTGATTACTTGCAGATTGGCTGAGAACTTCACTGAAGGAGAGAAACCCAAAGAGATCCTGCTCATCTAAACAGAGTAAGAGATGCTGATTTCTATTTGCTGGAAATTTGGGCACCTATATGGAGCCAGCCCTGAGTGCTGGAACAGAGTAACTGAAGCTGTAACACCCACCTATAAGTATTTCAGTTTAGGATCGTGCTTTGTGAGGCATACCTTCAATTTGGTGGCTCAGGGATTTGCAAACAGTGAGTCATAACTCCCCGGGGTCAGAAATGCAGCTGCTGAGGCACCAGGCATTGAAAAGTGTTGTCCAAGATAAAAGCAAAGCAAACCTCACTGCCCACACACTCTTATCCTTCAAGGCTGAGTATCTTTGTCCCCGTCTTTAAAAACATGCACTCAAAATTATACCAGCTTCTTGTGGTTGCCATTGATACCGGATTTACTTCTCCTTTTAGAGCAGACAAGAGGGGATTGCGAAAATCTGTCACTTGAAAGAGCTGAGGCAGATAGATCTGAAGCTAATATGCAGCACCCTGTGCTTGCAGAGAGGTGGCTGGCATTTGAGGAGGGAATTGCAATGTAAGATATGTCCATGTCCTTCCAAGGGAGGGTCCCAGAGGAGCTCCCTGGGCCTCTGCAGACAACCCCTGTCCCTTCAAATCCAGGACGGACTTGCAGGTCCTGGAGAGTGTGCTGCACTGCAGCCAGTTTTGTTCCTACCCAGAGTGCTGTCTTTGGGACACCTTTTGGTACTGACTCACTGCTAAGGAAGAACCGACACACAACTCACCTGTTCCACAAAGTGTCCCACTCACAGTGGTCACGTGGCACCAGGCTCCTGTCCCATGACACATTCGGGGTACAACAACAGCATGGCATGGCCACCTTTGCCACAGAACACCTAGATGCAGAGCTCACATGGCTGGTCCACCCCATCACACAACACCCCGTGCGGAGGGGAGTGGTGGCACCAGCTGTGGGTCCTGCAGTGTCCCAGGCACTGCCAGCCATCAGCCTGTCCTTCCTGTCCCCGTGGCTTCAAAGCCATCTGTATCATGAGCCGAGAGGTCTCGAGCTCACCAGACCTTCACTGTGAAGGCTTCAGTACTTGGTAAGTAACAGCTTGCAGAGCCTGCTGCTTTGGTAACACACTGCTTTAACAAAACCTTGATCCCTGAAGGAAGGCCAGTTCTGCAGAGGCCTGTGAAGTTCTGTGCTGGCTGTTCACCTCTCTCTGTACCTATTTTTATACCATTCCTATGGTTTAAAAAGCTTTTCAGAAATGTCCGGGTTTAGAGGGACACGGATCTGACAAAGTAACTGACTCACTCCGGCCTCAGGGAAGTTACTTCACTCCCTGGATCATCTTCTCCATTTGAGTATGAGAACAATCATATGAAATTACCCAGCATGCCTCCAATGTGGCTGTAAAAAAATAATTAGCTGGTATTTAGAACCATCTGTAAAAGTGGGAAGGTGTTGGTGTTGGAGAACCTCTGTAGCTGGGGAGGCTGGACAGCTGGGAGACCTGCAGGGGGCTCAAGTGATTGTCGCTATTTTTGTTACAGCCTTGTGGGATTATGGTTATAAAGAGGATGTGGGCGACTCTGCCCCTGAGCCCAAAGTGTGGGCCATTAAAATTTGTGGGCCATCCTTTTCCCTGTGACACTTGACCTTTCCAGGGGCTTTGGTTTTCACCAGTCAAGGCTCCAGATAACTATGGTGGTGCCAAATGGGTAAGAGCAAAGCAATGTTGTGCCCATCTTACACCATGATCATGGGGTTGTTTCTCCCTGCCTGTCTTGTCCCCTGGCATAGACACTTGTCTAAGGATGTTCCCTGTGCCCAGCATGTTGTCCACAGTCTCTGCAGGAGGCTGACTCAAAGGCAGAGCAGAGGTTTGGACCTTCACATCTCAGGGGGAGAGCTGGCAGGTAAAGGAAGGTGCCAGCATTGGCACCTCCCTGTATCAAAGCGATCACAACTCTGCAGTGATCTTGTGGCTCTTGCTATTGAACAGGAGGAAGCTGTCAAAAGAGTCCAAAGCCATTTTCTTTATTGTGCTCGTGTCTCTTGTGTCTGGTGTGAGGGAACATGGCACAGTCAGGCTTTGCAGCACTGCAGGTCGGCCCTCACCCTCTCTGTGGTGCCTGGGCTTCAATGGCTGCATTTAAACCCTGTATCCGTGCTTTGTCTTTAAGATGTTCATCCTCCAACAGGTGCATTTTATCAGTGAGCACAGATGCTGTTAATCCCTTGCACTATGTCCAATGTCCACCTCAGACTGGAGATCTACCTTGAGATAATGTGATTGCAGTTGCTTCCTGTAGTTGGTATCTGGTGACCAAGTCTTGTCTAGAGCTTCCTTTTTGCTTTCATGTGTTGCTGCTGGGAAATCATCTGAGGATTGCAAAGGTGAAAGCATTCATAGATTACCAGAGCAATTTTTGTACTATAGGCAGGGATTAGGGAACTGGGTAGGCAAAAGACTATGGTTGGATTCTTGCTGGTGGAAATGCATAAATGGTCATGGTAATAGCAGATTTGTAATGAACAGAATGCCAGCAGGAGCAATCTGCTTTAGACAAGATAAATCAAAGGATGACAAAGCTTGGTGAACCAAAGCAAGATCTTGCGTGTTTACTGCATTCTAGTTCCCTTTTATAATTTTAACAAGTTAGATCATTATAATAATTTGAGGAAGTTGATATGGAAGGCCAAAGGTGATGAGGGAAAGATTGCACATCCAGCTGAGAGAGGACAGCTACACACAAGGATCTCTGGACAGTCAGTTTTCTGACTCTGGACTGGTGCCACACCTTTCTGGGCACAGAGACAAAGAAGGGTCCCAGGGTTGTGCACAGCAATGAGGAGGAGGGACTGCAGGACTCTGAAGAGCTGAAAGATGCTGGACAAATGTCAGGGGAGTGATAGCTCCCAAAGCTTTTAATGTCAGAGGTGGCCAGAGGTAAGGTAACTGTGTGTCTGTAGAAGAGGGTGAATGCATTTAGCACCATGGGGAATGTCAGACATTCACAGCTCATGTCAAGGATTTGTAGATGCTACAGCTAAAGTGATGTGATGTACTGCCCTAGGCCTCTCTGCAGGCCCTTCCAAAATCAGCAACTAGCAGGTGTATTTGTACTGCTGTTCACTGTCATCTCATGGATGAGAGGGGAAAGGGAGGGGCCCCTTTGGTCCAAGGACAAAAGCAAAGAGGTGGTGCAAGACATAATGTTTTATTGCTTCTAATTGGATCACAAAGATTAGTAAATAGAGATTAGATGACACAAAGGGAAGAAAATCAAAGCAGGAGACCTTCTTACTTCCTTGTTTAGAGGAATGAGTGCGTGAAATAGGCTGAGGTT